CTAGTAGCCTATGGTGTTTTGAATGGTGAACTTTAAATACTAAAGTCGCCCATCAAAAGATAACAAGTTAGCCTTCCACCCATTCATCTTGTAGTTAATACAGTCCATAAAAGGAAGAAAATCTTCTACCTTAAGCCTATTGAAGGACAAAGCGATCCCAAGGTAAATGATTTTAGAGGTAATGTTATTAATGGATAAGATCTGGCAGATGGCTTGTTGATTGAGTTGGTGCTTAGGGAACATGATAGCACTTTTATCAAAGTTGATAAGAACCCCAGTAGAACTACCAAATTCCCTAAGAATATTAGCCAGATTATGACAGTTATGTAAAGACGCCTCACCAAAGACAAGCACATCATCAGCGTATAAAAGATGGGTGATATTGAAATTTTCAGCAGTGATACCTATAAAACCCCTCTCCTTCAATAAATTAGAGAAAGCATCCATAACAAGGCAGAAAAGATAAGGGCTAAGAGGGCATCCCTGCCTTAGCCCAACAGTAGAGACGAAAAAGCCCTCTAAAGCACCGTTAAGCACAACTGAAAATTGGACATCAGAGATACACATTTTGATCCAGTTAACAAACGGGTGGGAGAAGCCTTTTTGAGCTAATCTAGCTAAAATGAACTCCCTAGAGACGGAGTCAAAAGCCTTTCTGATATCTAACTTAGCACAGAACAATTTAGCACCACCTCTTTTACTAGCTGTAGCAAGAATGTCACTTGCAAGCAATATATTGTCTGTAGAGACCCGATCTTTTAAAAAATCAGATTGGTTATGTTCAATGATACTAGACATAACAGGCTTGAGCCTACACGCAATCACTTTGGCAATAATCTTATAGAGGACATTGCATAAAGCTATAGGCATGTATTCTGAAATATTCACAGCATTTTTATGTTTAGGTATGATAGCAAGAGCAGTGTGTTTAATCCCATTAGGCAAGTAACCTTTAGAAAAAAAGGATTTGATAGCTCTACACACAATCGGGCCTACAATATGCCAACAAGATTTGTAAAAATGGAAATTATACCCATCCGGCCCAGGAGTCGAGGAGGAAGAGCCCAGAGAAACTGCCGCTTTTATCTCATAATCATTAACAAAAGAGCAAATCTCATTAGCAGCAGAGTAAGATAAAGTAGCTCCCACAGGAAAAATATCAATATTAAAGTAAGCAAGTTGAGGAGGATTGTAAAGATTCTGGAAGTGCTGAATAATAGAGGAAACAACCTCAGTTCCGGAAGAAGGAGAAGAAGCAAGAAGCAAGAAGGTTGACCACCGATTTGGTACTACCCTTCCTACTTCTAATTTTGCCATATAGAAATTTAAGATCATCTTCCCCGTGTTTCAACCAATTCACCTTTGCTCTTTGAATGATCCAGGATGCTTGCATAGTAGAAAATTGAGCTATATTGACATTTAAATCTTTTAAAATAAGATTGAAAGCAGAGTTAGTCGGATCAGCATGAAGACAATCTAAAACTTCTTTTTGCCTAATGAGTAAAGAATCCATATGACGGCTAACAGCATTGTAAGAAGACCAAGACTGTCTCTTGATGCAAACTTTTAAATGCGTTAGAGTATTGCTAAGGTGAGACAGAGGATTACCATCTACCGGTTCTGAGAAAGCTCTCAGAAGGATGTGCCAAAAGCCATCAATATTGGTCCAGTAATTTTTAAAAAGAAATCTGTGACGAACCTGAGCAATCATACCAGAATGCAGAATGATCGGACAATGATCAGAGCAAGAGGGACTTTGGAGGGAGTAGTAAGATTCCGGAAACTCTTTCAACCAATTGTCATTCACAAGCACTGTATCCAGCTTAATATGAATGGGATTGTCTGTGCGCTGGTTAAACCAAGTGAAATTACTACCAACCGAATGCAGGTCTGTAAGACTTTGGGAGAAAATCATGTCATTGAAATCGAATAAGGCAGCTTGAGTTAAAGGGGAGCCACCCAATTTTTCAGAGAAAAAAACGACAGCAGTTAAAGTCTCCTACCAAAGCCCAGGGAGACTCAGGATCAGGAGCAATATTACTAATGATATCCCACAGCTCCTTACACTCATTAGCACTGTTAGAAGCATAGATGACAGATAGTTGGAAGAGATCTTTTGAAGCAACCGAAACCATCCAAGAAATAATTTGGGAGGAGATGTGGGTAGGGTTGAAGTTCAGTTTTTTATCATCCCATTTAATCCAGATTCGGCCAGATTGTGAGGAGGCAAAGTTATGACAACTTTTCTCGTTGGAGAGAACAGAATGTGAAATCTCAAAAAAGGGATCTTGGAGAGATTGAGCATGAATCCTATTCTCCAATATACACAGCATATCCAGCTTGAAGGACTGAGAGAGACTCTTGCAGTAAAGGACTTTGTCAGGACGGTTAAAACCACGAATATTCCAAACAGCTATAGAAGGGATAGACATTAGGAATTTATGGAGTGGGAATTTTTCCCCTGCTTCCCTTTAGCAGATTTTTTGACTGTCACAGAATTGCTCTGATTCGATTTATCCTTATGTTTATGTTTTTTACTTTTCACCTCTTGCTCTACCATTTCACCCATTGTGTCTCCCAAAGTAATGTGATCTTCCTCATCATTTAAAACATCAAATCTATCGGGGGAAAGCACCAGCTTATCTTTTTGCTTCCCCAATGCTCTGGTTTGCAAGGAGCTGGAAGAGGTTGAAGCAACCTCTTCTTCATTAGGAGAATTAAGGTTTGGTATACTAATCCCTATCAGAGCCTGAGTTGGGAGTTCAGTAACCGGTTTTTCTGCCACGGGATTACCAGTGTTAATTTGCTCTTGGACAGTAGAGGGAGGTGGGGAATGGGGTTGGTAATGAAGGGGTTGACCAATGCTATTGATAGGCGCATTGAAGGAAGTAGAAGTTGGTAATTTAGGCTGTTCTGTTACAAGAGGGGCTTTTTGAGTGAGGATTTATTTGGGAGGACGAGATGAGTTTTTAGAAGTCGAGGGATTTCTGTTTTTCCCCTTTCTGCTAAAACTCCTACCACGATTCTTTTGCATTTCTTTACCTTGCACCTCATCCCCAACAACCTCTGGTTTTAACGGGCAAAGACAAGAAAAATGCATAAGAGACTTACAGTGTTCACACGGGAATGGTCTCCATTCGTATTGCACCTTCAAGCAAACAACGTCCCCATCCAGGGACACTTTTATTTCCTCCGGGTAAGTAGCATTACGATCCACCAGAACACAGACACGGGCAAAGGTTAGACGGGTCTTTTGCTCTGTCAAGTTATCCGCGGCCAAAGGAACTCCGATTTTGCTAGCAATCCTTGAAATCCCCTCCGAATTCCAACATGCAAGAGGCAGATCATGTATTTTGACCCAAATCGGAACAGAATCAAAATTTTCTCTCTGAGGCTTGAATTTGGGGTGCCATTTTTGGAGAATGAACGGTCTCCCCAGCAAAAACCACACCCCCCGCGACCATACCATGTCATAATCTTCAGTACAAGAAAAGCGAATGAGAAAAAAACCTTCACTAAGCGATATAAGCTGGACTGATTCTTTAAGAATCCAAGTCTTCTTTATTGCTCCCAGTAAAGCTTCGTAAAAAGGCCTCCGTCCAATGGAGTACCCGACCAAGCACAAGGTCCAGTCCTCCCCCCCTTTAGACAGCTTAGCATCATTAAATGGCACTATCTCTGGCTCAGACGAGAAATGAGAGAGATTGAGAACTTTAGGTGCGGAAGCTTCAGGTGTGAACACCCTATTCCAGTCTTTCGGCGTAACCTTGGCAAACATTCCTGGAGACTGGACAAGCGGAGGGAAGTCCGCAACACAGAGTCTAGTCTCCATAAGATCAATGAGGGTTAAACCCTCCGGCAGAGCCGGAGAAGGCGGTGAAGAAGGAAGAGACGATCAGGAGAAGGCGGAAAGAAAAACCCTAGAACTCCCTGACCGGTGTTTTTTACTAAAATCCTAATTTTCATCTTGAACGAAGAAAGTTGACGACGTGGCTAGAAGAAGTCATTGACTTAGTTGGAATAAGTAACTAACCTGATAGGAGGAACTTGCCACCATAGCTAGAGGAAGTCGTCGGCTTAATTAAAGAAAATTTTAGGCTTGATTAGAAGAAATTCTTGACTTTGATGGTATTAACCATACAACACTAATCTTAACTAGTCATATATAAGTAAAAGTTAAAGTTCCTTTATCTAGTTTAATAACCAAATTAATTTATAGTTAAAAATAATAAATAAGTAAAATTTACTTGCTATAAGTAATTAATTTGTAAACTTATGATCAAATATAAAATTAAATATTAATAAAGTCTTAATGATCTTAATACATAATTTTAATTAATTTATAACTATCCTAAGTAAAATAGTTAATCATTGCTTACACTTCTTACTAGTCCTCATATTAATTAATGATATATATAAATATTGGTAGTACTAACTAAAATATTAATTTATCCTTAATTAATAACCTCAAATAACTCAATAGTGATAAATTACATAAATAGAATGATTTAATATTAATAAATAATCAATATAAAAATTTAACTATGAAAAAAAAAGTAGTAGATTAATGTACGATTTTACAAATCCAACATATGAAAATTTTAATTATCTTAATTAAAACCATTATTGAACAGTATTTTGCCTTAATAAATATAGAAAATGATTGATAAAATATTGTTAGCCTAATGGCTATAATTAGAAAACAAAGAAAAACTTAAATGTACTTTAAAATATTAAATAATTTCTTATAATATAAATAATCGACCAAGCAAGTTTTAATATGTATTTGGAATAAAGTATTAAAGATTTTATCATAAGGTTAATAAAAAACTCATTTTACATAAAAAAAAAACTGATTAAAAAGTACACTTTGTTTATTTAGGATAAAAAAAGATAAGCGTAAAAAATGATGCTGATCCGTCATATTCACCTATATATCACATCAAGCAATGACTATTCCATAGGATCTCATAAATAAATAAAACTAATAAAACGCCTGAGCTGTTTGATCTCTCGGGCAAACAAACCCTAGAGAGAACAAGTTTGCCCATTTTTCAATTCCCCGTTCCCCTTCGATCCCCACCCGAGCTTCCGCAGGCCCACCGACCCGACCCTGTCCATCCTTTCTTCTTAATTCTGGTTGCCGGTTTCTACAGTCATCCCCTTCTTCTCCTCCTACTTCTCCTTCTCGCGGCTGTTTACTTTCCTTGTGGACGACCCACGCCGCGGCTCGTGAACTTATCCTTCTGTCGCTGTTGCCACCGTTTTTTCCTATATTCCTCCGCTACAATAGGCCATTGTTATCTGATCGATATTCCTTTTCCCACCCAATACTTCCACCGACTCTCGTTCTCATTTTGGCCCATTTCGACACGCCTCGCAATTATTTTGCAGTAATATGTGAGTTAAGTTGCAGAATTATTTGCAAACAATAACAAAAGAAGCACGGCGGCGATGGTTATCTAATCAATCGAGAGGCGACTTAATAAAATGGGGAGAGGAGGAAAAGTCGTATATACAAGGACCGGTGGCCGACCCAAGAAGAAGAACTATAGAGAAGAAGACGAGGATGACGAGAGTTATGTCGCGGAAGAGGAGGAGAGCTCCTCCGAATCCGATAATCCCAATGACGAGAGCTTCGATGGTAGCCATGCCAATACTAGTGCCAGTTCTGCTGCGGCGGACGATGGGATGCCTAATGCTAAACCGAAATCTCGAAGAGGCTATTATTCTGGCCGGTGGAGATCTAGGGTTTCGGATTACGAGGAGTTGGAGGACGATGACTACGAGGATGACGAGGACTTCTCGCCGGATGCTACTGACAACGAGGATTGGGAAGAAGATTCACTGGTCTTGGGTGATATCCATGGTTCTGCTAGGAGAGGGACTACTAAACAGCGACAAAAGAAACTGAATAAGAAGGTTTCCAAGCCAAACTTTAGCGGCAGATCGAGTAAGGTGGCCTCCGCACCAGGAAGGAGGAAGCAGAGGAGAGGGGAGGCTAGCTCGGATGATGAAGGCAGCTTTTTAAAGGGACGGCCTGCCGCCAAGAGACGTAGAAAAGGTTCGAAGAAGGTGAGCAAGAGGACGGCTAAGTCCAGATCAGCTAGGAAGAAGAGTTCGCCAATCGATTCAGATTCGTTTGATTCTGATTTTTTGACATCCGATGATGATCTTTCCTTTAAGGCTCGGGTTGCGGTGGATAGATCTAAGAATAGAAAGAGAACCAAATCCGTGAAGAGAAAGAAGAAGTTGAAAGGGGATTCCGACACGTCAGATTCTGATTTTGTGGTTTCCGATAAAGACCTTTTGGACAATGATGTTGTTGTGCTTGCTAGGCCGAGGAAGATTAGCAGGACTGAGAGGAAGAATGCGAGGGCATCTAGAAAACAACTGTCAGTGGAATCTGAGTGCACTGATTCTAATAATGAGGTTTGTGAAAATGAAGTAAAGGATCTGAAGATTGAGAGGGCCTTGAATATGCGGAGACATGAGGGGTCTTCTGGAAGAAAGGGTAAGGAGAAAGAAGCTGATGATTTGGCTAAGCAGCTTTGCGGGATCTGCCTGTCTGAGGAGCATAAGGGGACCATTCAAGGAATTTTGAACTGCTGTTCTCATTACTTCTGTTTTTCTTGCATTATGGAGTGGTCAAAGGTGGAATCTCGCTGTCCTCTTTGTAAGAGGAGGTTTGTCACCATCACCAAATCTTCTAGATCTGATCCCATGTTAGAAATGAGAAGGCCTGTGATAAGAGTTCAGATGCGTGACCAGGTACTACGACATGTTGTGCTTGTCAATTGATTGTGAAGCAAATGTAGGCTTTGTTGATTATCCTTGTAGATTTTTGTTTTGTACTCACTATTTTTTCAGACTTGGCTAATTCACCAGTATGACTTTCTAAACGAATGAATAAATAATATATTTTGACTGTCGACTTACTTAATACCCGAATTTTAAGTTCAAAGCCTTGTCCTTAATTATTTTGAATTCTAAAAGCTAAGTTTTATTTACTTTCAACAAATTATTAGTATAATCAGCATATAAAACATTCTGTTCGTCCCTAGGAACATATAAAGTGCCATATGGAAAGTTTTTTATGATGAAAATGGCCTTTGGTTAAGATCATGAACCCAATGATAGTTTAATGTGGATGTGCTAACATGGTATTGAATCTGATGGTTGATGCGCTTTGGAAAACTTTCTCAGATCTATTTTGTTTCAAGACATTTCAAGACAGCAGCAACTTTAGTTTCTTGGATAACATTATAGGTCAGATTATTTTTGAGATGAAAAGTTAGAATAATGTTAAAAAGAATTAGAAGACAAGGCTCTTAAAATTTGTAGGCCAAAGTTTGAATGCATGATATCATTATTATGATAGAAATGACAGCATCGGTTAAGTTGATATTAAGTAAAATTCTGTGCAAGTCCCTTTCTCAGTTTATGATTATTCAGTTCATTTGAATTCTTTCTTAATCTTAGAATTTGAGTTTGCGTCACTTCATGTTTGGGCTATACTGAAAGCTGAAAGTACTATGATGGTATTAAGCTTTTTTATTGTCTAACCTTCGTTTTATCAAAACCTGTTTCATTAGATGTGAGCACGCTTGTTAGGGCACTCCCCTCATAATAAAGGAACTGATTAGTTTGAACTTTTGACCATTTAAGCTTCATTTGGTAATGCTTTTCTGCTTTACCTTTCAAATACCTGATATTGCACACGCACTTCAGCAATCTCCTCACAATCATGAAACAAACTTGCAGGATAGTTTATACATTTATGTTAGTATTGCGGCGATTGTATGTCATTCCAAGCATTCAACACAACAATAGTTCAACATTAGAGATACTGTGTTTTTAAATGTCACTTCATGAGGTTTAAAGATTAAGTGTTGTTATTGTTCAACGGCATATTCATTATGGGAGGTTCCCTACTCAATTGATGCTTTTAGTTATATATGCTTCTCTCTGCTAATGATTTAATAAATTTTACTCTAAATAAAATTGGCTCAATATTCTGGGCTATGAGGGAATTTTTTGAACTAATTCTTAGCGCTTGATTCAATTTTCCAAGTTAGTTTCTTTTTTAGTTCTAAGTGATTAATAGGCAATTCAAATGACTAATTAATATTTATTTTTTGTGTAATAAAGGCTGTGTTATGACATTTTAAGATTTTTTTTCTTTTCATAATTTTCAAATTTACTTTGAAACTTCTGAAGTTTGCTTGATTTTTTTTGTAATTTCAAGCAACATTATTTTATTTAGGCCCTAGGATGTCCTTGCCAGCATTTGGTTTTGAAAAATAATTGTTTGGTTTTTTCACCTAATTTTCTGTAGGTTGTATTTTTTCTTTTTTTTGCCTCTTCTTGATACTCTCAATCAAGAAAACCTGATTTGTTCGTGGGTATAAAATTGCCTTTTAATTTGAATGGAATAGCTCCATTTGCAAAATAAATGGGTTTGTAACTAGCCAATTTAGTAGTTGTATTTCTTTTGTAGTTTTGTCTGACCTACTTCCATCATTACAGATTTACCAGCCTTCTGAAGAAGAATTAAGGGTATTATTGGATCCATATGAAGATGTTGTTTGCATGGAATGCCATCAAGGAGGGGATGATAGCTTAATGTTGCTGTGCGATATATGCGACTCTTCTGCTCATTCATACTGTGTTGGTCTTGGGAGTGAAATACCTGAGGGAAACTGGTATTGTGAGTGTTGCAAGCTTGCTGATGAAGGATCTTTACATTCCCAAGTTCTAGATCGAGGAGCAAGCAGTAGTCATATGTCCCATGGTGCAGTTGAAGAGAATTGCTCTAGAAATTTTCAAAGCAGTTCAATCTTTCAAAGATCAGTTTCACATGGTCAATCTTCTTCACAAGGATTTGATCTCAATGCGCCACCCAGAAATTTCATAGAGGATAATGGAGTTCTAAATTCATCACAGGCATCTGGAACTGGGGCATCAACACTTTCTGGTAGGCGTGCTATACACCAACGCATCAGAGTATTTTTTTCTAACAACAGGGCAAGGCAGCTCTTTGCTGGACCTAATGGGACAGACACTTCTTTACATACTGAAGCATTGCACTCAGTACTGGAACAAAATAGGGAACAATCATGCACCTCAGAGAGGCCAAATTCCTTGCATTCTGTTTCTGTTACTGCACAGCAACATGAAAGCAGCAGGAATTTTCTGCACACCAACTCTAATTTGGTTCCATTCATGTCTAATGGAGGAAATTTTCGACATGTGGAAGGTGCGAAGGAGCAAATCCAATCCATGGTAAAAAGCTGCCTAAACAGGATGCGCAGAGAGGTCCCACTAGGTACGTTAAAATGTATTTGGGTTTGATTTTCTTACTGGTGATACATTTAAGGATTGATATTTGTATACCATTATTTTCTCGGACACTGCTGGATTTTTTTGAATTCATTGTCTTTGTGTTGGCCGATTTTCTATCTTACCTACTTTCTAATTTGTTTTTATTTATAACTAGTACTACAACAACTACAACAACAACACCTTTATCCCACTATGTGGGGTCAGCTACATGAATCCTTTTTCCCCATTGTGTCCTATTAAGAGTCAAATTCTCATCTAAATCTAATAAAGAAATGTCATTTCTAATATTTTTTATCCAAGTCTTTTTAGGTTTACCTCTACTTTTCTTAACATAAGTCAAATCTATTACAAACCATTTAAGGCGACTCTCTCTAATATATTATCTTCCACTGAGCTACTCCAACCTTTTCAATTATATGCTCATTTCGTATCATGTCTCTAAGAGTAATGCTACTCATCCACCCAAGCATCCTCATCTCTGCATCACTTAACTTAATATTATGCTTCTTATTTAATGGCCAACATTCTACACCATAAAGCATTGCAGGTCTCACAGCCATCTTAGAATTTTCCCTTAAGTTTGAGAGGGACTTTTCCATCACACAACAAGCCTGATGCATTCCTCCACTTCAATCATCCAACTTAAATTCTACTAATAATATCCTCATCTAGTTCACCATAACTCTGAACAGCAGACCCAATATATCTAAAACATGTACTCTTATTAATGACTTGATCACCTGAAGTCACAATCCATTAACTAGATTCATTATTACTAAACGTACACTCCATATATTCAGTTTTATATCTAGTCAAACGAAAGCCTTTAAACTCTAAGGTTAACCTCCATAATTCAAGTTTACCTTCAACTCTTTGTAGTCTTATCAACAAGAAAAATATCATTAGCAAAAAGCATACACCAGAGTGCAATCTCTTGCAAATATGTTTTGAGAACATCCATGAATAAATCAAAAAGATATGGGCTTAAGGTTGATCTTTGATGTAATCCAATTGAAATAGGAAAATACTTGGTCAAACCACCTTTTGTTTGAACATAAGTAACAGCTCCTGCATATATATCCTTAATGTCTTGAATATAAGCATTATAAATCCATTTCTTATGTAGAATTCTTCATAGCACTTCTCTTGGAACTTTATCATATGCTTTCTCTAAATCAATAAAAATCATATGTAGACCCTCTTTATTCTCTCTATACTTCTCCAACAAACCTCTCAATAAATGAATAGCTTCCATGGTAGACCTACCCGGCATGAATCCAAATTGATTTTGAGAAGCATTAGTGTCACGCCGCAACCTATGCTCCATAACTCTCTCCCATAGTTTTAAGGTATGATACATTAACTTAATTCCTCCATAATTCACGCAATCTTGTACATCACCTTTTTTCTTAAAAATATGAATCAACACCCTCATTCTCCACTCATCTAGCATCTTTTTATTCTTCAAAATAATATTAGTAAGCTAAGAAATTTCTTGAAATCCTAAGCATTTCCACACCTCTATTAGACTATCATCAGGTCCAACAGCTTTTTCACACTTAATTTTCTTTAAAGCATCTTTAACTTCGGTTTTACTATTACGCCGGTAAAACAAAATTTTTTATTTTCATTTAAGGTGCTAAGGTCACTAAAGTCAATCACATTCTCATTTTCTTCATTGAAAAATTTAGCAAATAATCTCATTCACCTTTGTTGAATATTCTTTTCTAGTAAAAACACTTTTTGATCTTCATCCTACACTTCACTTGAACTAAATACTTACTACTCATATCTCTTTGTTTAACTAACTTATATATATATATATATATCTTTCGTCTTCCTTAGTATCTAATCTATTATATAGATCATTAAAAGCTAAAATTTTTGTTTGACAAATTGCTTTCTTAGACTCCTTGCACATTTTGATTCCACCTCAAACTATTTTTATTATTGTAGCTTTTTTCTTTGATCCAAGCACATCTTTTGCAACATTCTTAATATCATTATGTACTTTTTCCCACATCATATTAGCTTCCTTATGCACAGACAAAATCTTGAGATTTAGAATTTTACTCAAAAAAATATTTTTGTTACTATTTTTTAAATGTCCCCATCTAATCCTAGAGCAATGTTTTACTTTATTTTTTTATCTTCTGCCCTTTCATCTTAAAGTCCAAAACTAATAAGCAATGTTGGTTACATAAACTTTCACTCAGAATAACTTTACAATCTTTACATCTAAACAATCTATTTTTTATTCATAACTATTGAGCTTAATTAGAATTATCAATTCTTTTGGCTGTATCACTTGAACTAGAATTTTGTACTTAGTTATTGACAATGGAAATAATGAGTGGAGTAAGATTTATAGCAAGTTGTTTGGAAGACATGTTCTATAGAGGAACATGGAATGCTTTGACTGGCTGCAACTCTTAGTCCAATATTATAACCTTTTTTTTTGTACATCAAACTCATTTGACGGTGTTATCTATTGTGTTTGTCATTTTCCATGATTCTTAGTGATTTGCATCCCTAAGACATTTTTCTTTACCTTAGGTGTTTTCAATATAGTTTCAGCAAATAATATATGTAATATGAATTTTGCTGTGTAAAGGTTGGAGTAGCTCTAGTGGAAGATAAGATTAGAGAGAGTCCCTTAGTTGGTTTGGTCATATTAAATTGAGGCCTTCCAGTGACCCGGTTAGGAAAGTTAAGGTATTAGATTTGTTTTATGTTAAGAAAGGTAAAGGTAGACCTAAAAAGACTTGATTATAAAATATTATAAATGATCTTTCTTTATTAAATTTAAATGAGAATTTGACTTTTAACAGGACATAATGGTGAAAAAGGATTCATGTAGCCGACCCCACATAGTGGGACAAAGGCTTGATGTTGTTGTTTGTTGTTGTATCTCTTTCTTTATAAATGATATTGCATTGTTGAAGTTTTGAGTTAGTTAGCATTGACTCGAACACGTATATCTCAATTTTGGATAAAGTCCCGCTAATTTTCACTAGACATGATCAATTTTAATTTTAAGTCACAACTCAAGCGATTATGAAACTGGTTTTTTGGCTTCATGTATACTAATCATCCTATTTGAGCTGCATATCATCTTTTGCTATTACAAAAGGTAAATTCTCCTTCCAAATGGTTATACAAATTTAAATGTATCAAAGCAATTAGTTTTTTTTTTTTCATATATATTTAGTTTTGATAGCAGTGGTTAGTTGACAAAGATTTATAATGGTAAGAGATCAATGGGACATGGATTTGATGCCATTTTCAAGTAGCATTAATCACTATCTTATGTCAACTTCACGTCGATCTTAGTTCAAATTAATCTACTTGAGTGTAGCCATTACACCACCACTAGTTGATCTCTCATGCTTGTAGTCGACTGATCAAGAGATCATTTGACTTGATGACATGGGGGTAAGTTTAAAGGAATTAGATGCCGCGGAAAACCTCTCAAGAGAATACTAGATGTTGATGAGAAGAATGAAGAAAATATATTGCCACTTGAATGAATCAAGACCAAGAGGAACTCAGGTGGGGCCTTGAAAGAATGCTCAAGAGCTATGAGTCGAGTGCTGTGGAAATACACTGTAGAGACAAAGCATAGAGAATTTGCTAATGGTGCTTGTGAGATGAGTCACTCTGAAGTCGAGAAGACCCTTGATCGCATAATAATACTAATAGCATTGTCTAACAATCTATTATTTAAGTGCTATTTCCTTGTAACTTCCCCAATAAAGAGCCATGCTTCCCTATAATATTTTCCCTATAATAAATGCCCACCCAATTTGTAATTGACATTTTTTTATATAAAGGGGTGTCAGAGATAAAATGGTAAACTTTGTTGGGATTGCCTAAATTGGCTAGAGAAACTCTGTGAAATTAGAGAGCTATTGAGAGACGGGGGATTCAAGAAATTGCGGTCTTCATCCTATAACTTGGCCTTGTTTTCGTGTTGATGAAACATGAGCGTTTTTCTTTCAAAAGAAAAGAAAAAGAATATCGATTATTCCAGCCCACATTTTGAGGTTCGCTCAACTTGTTTATTAGAACTTTCTATTGATGATATGTTGATGCTAATTGGTCAGGTTTTTGGTATCAAAGCGTTGGGATTGAAGAGAATTGTAGTGGATGTTGTTGATGAAAGGCGGATAAAAGGAGACAAAAAAGTCATTCTTACCTTAAAATTGTCAAGAAGGCGAAGGAAAGCCCAAATATCAACATTATTTGGAGAAAACTTTGTCAAGTCACACTCCTTCAAAATAAGATGGGTTATAATGATGGAGGTTTTGAGCAAGGAAATTCCAGTGGTGGTTCCAAAACCAAAAAGATAGGGAAGGATGTTTCCGTAGGAAGATATTATTGATTAGCATGATTCAGAAGATGAGGATCTTGAGCATTCATTTAGAAGAAGATATTTTACCCTTCTTGATAGAGGCAAATATTGATGTCCTTACCTTTAATGGAACCAATTGCATTGAGCAGTGAAGTTTGATGCTTGGGTGGGTTAGCTAGAAATCTATTTCAACCTCTATCGTATTTGTCTCAAGAAAGGGTTTCTTTTGACTAAATCTCACCAAGCATGTGTTGACTTGGTAGAACATCCATCTTTAATATATTATATATGCAACTAAATATTTCATTGGAGTTTTCAAGATGTTACTCTAATTAGAGTTCTACCCTATGGGGTTTAAAGATAAAATATATGAAGTGGCATGATTACATTAACAAGAATATATTGTGTAATATTATGCCGACGAATTCCAAAGACAAACCCTATTTTTTGATGCATCATTGGTTGATTTTGTCCGTGTTGATGAAGCACATGGCAGGGGTGCACTAAAACATCGCTAGCAAGCTCTAACTCTTTCATGTCAAATATCTCAGCCACATAAGTATGTTGATGTGCGGAGAAATTATTGAAGGTGATAACAACAACTCATAAGAGTAAAATAATAAAAATTGTATTCCAAAAATAGATTTCATATATTCCTTTCTTCTTAAGCTATTATATATATAATATAGCAATAGAAATCTTTAGAAAATACTAGAAACTTGGTACAATATAGGTATAATACTCAAAAGGTAGACAATTACTAAGATGCACTGCATCGTACTCCCGTACTCTGAAGAATTTGCGTGCAGGCTGACGGCGGGATTATGCGCAACAAGGTTACAGAAGGAATTTGGTCACGGACGGGTTGTGTGTGTCATTGGGTCGGGCCGGTTGCTGGAAACTGTCGGCGAGAGGAAGCGAAGGCAAAAATGGGGGTATGGGAGAGGAGCGGAGTCGTGGGTTGTGCAGGATTGTGGTCGAGCTGGGCATTGGACGCAGGATCGAGCGAGATCGCTTGCTTGTGGGAGAGGGCTTGAGTCGTGCAGGAGGGCTGCAAGATGGAGCACGTGCGGATGTGGGATCAGCCTAGTTGTGGGAGCTGTCCGATCGAGTTGAAGGTGCATGCGAACAGGGACCACGGGGACTGGTGGCAAAGATGCAAGTAGGCTCACGCGTGGGTGCAAGCGGGACTAGTTCAAGGCGGCGATGTGGGATTTTGTGCGGCCGGATCTTATTGGGCCGTAGATATGAGAGATACAGGCGGAGTTGAGGCAGTCATGGGAATCTGAGTCGTGGGAGTTGAGGCAGTCATGGGAATCTGAGTCGCATGTAGATGGAGGGGTGCTTGGGACTAGGTTATGAGAAGAGAGCTGCAGTCAAATCGGCAGAGAGGGTGAGGTTTGTCTTGTGCAGGTGTGCGGAGTCAAGGAGTGGAGAAGTGTTGCTGGGATTGTGGGCAAGAGTAGTGCCGAAGTGGGAAGATCAAAGGCTGAGACGGAAGTTCAGGCTTGTCTTGAAGTCAAATAGAGAATCTCGTGCTGTTGTGGTTTCATAGATGTGGATTTGTTGGGATTTGAGGAGGGTGACCACTTGAGTCCGATATGGAAGTTGTCCGATGGTATGGTTGCCATAGGTGAAGATAGATTAGCCAGTATGGTTGCCGGATGGTGGAGGTTGAATCGTCAGTATGGTTGCCGACTGGTGGAGGTCGTATCGTCAGTATGATTGCCAACTGGTGGAGGTCGCTTGTGATGCTCGCTTGCGCTTCCCTCAAAGCATCCAAACACGGATTGTCGTCAAGTGTTGATGCAGTTTCCTTCCTACATGATCTCCCCAAAGCATCCAAACCCCGATCGCCATCAAGGGTTGATGTAGCTTCCTTCATCCTTGGTCTCCTAGAGCTTTAGCTCTAATACCAACTGATTTTGAGAGAAATCATTAAAGAAGGTGATACCAAAATCTCATAAGAGCAAAACAACAAAAACTGTATTCCAAAAATAGATATCATATATTCCGTTCTTCCTAAGCTATTCTATATATAAATACTAATAGAAATCTCTAGAAAATACTAGAAACTAGATACAATATAGGTATAATACTTCCAAGGTAGACAATTACTAAGATGCACCGCATCATACGTTCACAGTGATAATTGAGAATAAGAACAAAAATGTAGGTGACACTCATCCTATTGAGAAGAATGGACAGGAGATGAAGGTTGTCGAGACAAAAAATGGAATCAAAAGAATTCTGTTAAAGGTAACCACAACATCCTCTTCTTTTTCTTTGAGAAATGACCTCTACAGTGATCACTATCAAATCACAGGTCATGATTGAGATAAATCCTGAAAACTTCATCCATAACTCTTCCAAGAGAAGTTGAAGAAGGATAAAAGGGGAAGAAGGGGGTAACATTATGGAGAAGGATTAGACGTTGAAGTCAGTAAATCAACCTGGCTCGATTCTTTCTTTGATGGCAATGCTGAAGGGGAAAGAGCCAACCATGCTGAGGGGGAAAGAACCAACCATTTCACTCACATGCTTTTGTACTTGACTGGACGCAGAAGGACCTTGAGATGTGAATTAATCATCAATGTTGTGTCCACTTCGCCATCAATTTAGGAACACATTGATGATGTGTTGTGTGAAGTGGTGCTTATTGACGTCTATCATTTTATGTTTGGGAGCTCATATCGATGGGAACAAGTTGTCATCTTCTATTAGAGGGTGCAACAATATCCATGTAAATACGGTTTGAAGTGTACCATTAATAAGAGTAAGGGTTGTCAGCCTCTTGATATGGTGGTTTTTGGTTAGTTGAAGAGGACTATTAAAGCATGCAAGCGTGAGAAGCTCATGGTCCTATAGAGGAAGCTTAACATGATCATCTAGACATGTTTCTGAGCAAAATCAGAGAAGCGTTGAGATCGAGACACTTAAAAGCATTGATCTTTGGTGCTTGAGAACTGACAGCCTAAACTATAGTTCTTTTTTGAGAACCAAAAGGCTTGCTTCCATGAAGAGCGATGGAGTATATATATGATCAAGCTTAATAAGCATTCCCTATCTATTTAAAGGGGTATTGTAGGAAGAAAGGTGGTAAGCTGGGCTAGGATTAGCCAAGTTATTGGGAGAAAATTTATGGAGTTAGAGAGCTAGAGAGAGAGACTTGAATTTTTCATTGTCTAGAAAAAAAAAAAAAAACTCAATCACTAGTAACTCCATTGATATCTGCTATATAGGTTTGTTTGAACTTTCTTACGGTGTCCTATTGTTGCTAAAGGATCCCTTAGGTTGATTTAACGGTGATAGGTGACACTGCTGGGTACACTCACTACATGGCTTCCAATGACTTAAAAGAGGTTTTTGGTTTGTTGAAAAAAGAATGTAAACTGTAATACCATCTAAAAAGAGTACAATATATTTGAAATGTTTGAAGTTGTTTGGATGAGTGAAAAATAAATGCATTTGTTAGATGGTTGTTGATGATTCGTTGACAACAATGTCCGGCAACGAGTTGCAGGTACAGTTAGCTAGCGGGTGATGGCAACGATAGTCGGTGGCTAGCAATAGGGGCAGTGGATAGTGGCAGCATGCTATGACTTGAGTAGAGAATTTATTGTCAATTTGGAAATTGACAAAATCCAAAGATTTTTTAATACCCCAATGTTGAGTTAGAAGCCTAGAAGGGGAATGCTGAATTCACCAATGAATTACATTTCATTTGAAATACCAACCAAACATTTGAACTCTTGGAATGCATTATATTATAAATGCAGCCAACCAAACGACCTCTTAGTGGTATTGGCTGGAATAGATGATGGCTAACTTCTTTGTAGACATTGACAGACTTTCTATTGGTAAGTTTTTTTTTTTTTTTTTGTTTTTTGCATTCGATAGTCTCATGCAGGAACCCAACTATAATTCCTCGAAATCATGATCCTGATAGTTCCAGTCTAATTCTCGGCAACTGGCATGTGGTGTAACACTCGATCTTTTAAAAGATGAGATAAAGTTTTCCCTCAAAAATTATGCCACACTTTTAGCACATTCCGAAAATTTTCAAAATCATTTATATTGTATTCTTTAATTCATTTCGATTATTTTGATATAGAGAAGCCTATATATTTCAAGTAATGCATATAATTGTTTTTTTTTTTTAAGTTTATATTTTAACATTACTATACCCTATAACTAATGGACTGTTACTACTACAGTATTCACTCATTGATGAATCATGACTTTTAACGTTTCTTATTGCTATTTTATTATTTTATTCAATTTTGCTTCACTTTTTCTCCAAAAAATCTAACGTTTGCTGTAATAATTTGCTGAAGAGCGGTATACTTACATGAAGATAGCAAGGAAAGCTACCCACACGATTCTGGCAGCATGTGAAATTCAGCATTGTAGTAGAGTAGTTTCCTCTCTTCTGCAGCCTCCGGACAAATGCTGCCATGATTTGGATAGCGGACCAGTAAATTTACTCAGAGGTTGCTGTTCATTTTGTTTCGGTGAATTTGTAAAAGATGTTGTGAAAATGATTGTTGAAACATTATAAATTACATTTTATCAGGTCCCCAGAACTGAACTAATTTCCAACTTCTGGATGCCAAGATGTTTTTTTTTTTAATTTTTAAATGCTAAATTTATTTATATGAGGTTATTTTTCTTCAAATGATTCACGATGTCTTTGGGAATTTGCAGTGAATATTGCACCATTATTCTTGTTAGCAGATTTTTTGGCTAGCCGGCATTAAGCAATGCATTATGTATGATAAGAATGGAAAATTTTGGGTAGGATGAATTTTCTAATCATATGATCTGTTTTGAATTGAATGTGATATAGAAACAATTAATTAATTAATATGTATTACGTTTATCTTAAAAAAAAAAAATCTAGTGGTCAAACAATTTTCATCATGAACTAATTTAGATGAGGATATTCTACACAAGCTTTTTCCTATTGCAATATTATAATTTAAAAAAAATCACAAGAATCAAGGATAAATCTCACTGAGATAAACAAATCAACGTTTACTGCCCTTTCCCAGAAATATGCAACGTCCACCTTTATTAAAAATAAAGCCCTCAATTGTGTCAAAACTTCCGTTTTGTTATACGCTCTCGTCTGCTATGGTTCTATACGCGATGAAAATAAATTGCTGGCAGGTGTTTCAAAATTATATGTACTGTTGTGCGAGCATTTTCTTCATAAAATTTTGTGCAAAATTGACGAATAAGGATCAGTATGCAGGCTAAGATGAAATTTAATATTAATGCTAGTTTAAAAAAAAAAATTTAAAGTAGGGCGAGACTTATTTGCGGTTAATGTAAAAAATTATTATCTAATGTGTTTAAATTGCTACATGGAGCATGCATTTTGTGCTAACTAAGTATATTGAATTGATGCATTACTGGATTTCATTTAATTTTGGTTGAATAATGTCAATCCATCAGTTGAATGAAACACGTATCAGATTATTATCTAATCTAATGAGAACCAATATGGCATGTATCACTCAGCAGCTATGTTGTTTTCTTCAAACTTCAAAGTGTGCGACCCCCTCTGAGTGCACAAACGATTTGAAAAAAAATAAAAAATAAAAAATAAAAAAATAAAAAAAATGGGGGGAGGGGATGTTGGGCAACAAGCAGAGCCCTGGTCCTCTTCCCAAGCCTCAGATTAATTAAAACTGTAGCGCCGTTTCGCTCCCGCGCTGGCGCGCTCACTCGTTTTTCGGCTCTCTCCTCGTCTTCTGAACCCACTCTGTTTTCGAGCTTAAAAGGATTCCATCATGTCCCATTAAACGGTCGATGGAACCGACGCCTAGGGTTTCGCCTCCACCGACGGTCTGGATACATCGATGGGCGCCCTGACAGATCACCGGAAGCGCGCTCGCGCAGATCTAAAAAGATTTTTCCCTCTCGCTCTTCTCTCCTTCCTCCAAAAACCCCGTCCACGTCCACCTCCGTCGTTGTGATTCGCCGCCGCCGCCTTCTCTAAGCACTTGCGCTCTCCTCCTCCCCCATCCTCTCTTCAACCCCCGCTTTCCGCTCTTCGTTGCATCATCCACGCTCCGCAGCGCATCATCCAATCCTTTAGCCTCTGTTCTTCGTCCACTTAGAGACCGAGACACTCAAACGCTGCGAAGATGGGTAATTTCTTATCGAGGAAGGGTGATGACAGGGTCTACTTGAATGACTTCAAGAGGAGTCATAAGCGTTTTTCACAAGAACCATTAGGTCTTCCGTTTCTAATTCGAAAGGATGATAGAGGATATTCTGCTTCTGTTTTGAATAGGAAGTTTAAACCCAAGGATGTAAGTTTCTATGGTTTTGTTCTCTAAGCTTGAATTATAGATTTGGTGAGTCAAGGCTGTCAAAACTGTGCTTTCTCTTTTTATTTGTTATTTTTGTAGGCACTTTTTGTTCGTCATTAAATATTTTGAAATACTTACTGCAGAGAGGTCTTACCATTTGTGCTTCCATGGCCCTACTTTAATTAATATGGCGTTTTGATTGCATGCATCAAGTTCTGTCATGTAGACTACGGCCCATATCATATCAAATTATACTATTTTTAACAAAAATTAGGAAAAACAAGGGAAATCATATTATAGTTTGCCCTCTTAATGAGAATGGTTTTTTTTTTTAAGTTTATTAACAATACCTTATTATTGTAAATACAATCTCTAATTTCAGTATTAATTTTTACCTTTATGTTAATTCTGCTCATGTTCTTGTGTGTTGGATTGCCATGTGCTTAGTCCTATTCTCTCTCCTTTAACTCTTTGGGGACTCTGATCTACTTGCTGAAATTGTTTATACACAGCCAATCGCTCATGCACAATTTCATTGCAAGTTGACCATGGCTAAGTGAACAAGTTCTTTGATATCATTTTGTGATCTTCATGTTTTTGTGTCGGATCATTCAAATCCAACATGAGCTCACAAAACATGCAGAGTTATATACTTTTCTTCTTGCAATTTTGCATTTCCTTGCTCTAATATTAGCCAAATAGAGCTATCAGATGGGCTGCCTGATGCTGATGTGGTCTAAACCAGATAAGCCCAATTTAATTAAGCCGTGATCCAAATTCAGCTTGATTTGTATTGGAGAGTGTTCGTGTGCATTGCATAGTGACAACATAAATTTGAGAGATGTCTTTCTCAATCTAAAATTACCCAAAAAATGCATTGAGATCAGATAATGCTTCCTAATACTTTTTTATCCTGCTAAGTTGATCTACTAATGAAATGAGAAGGCCCAGTCTGAGTGGCTGAGTGTTTATGCACTATACATCAACAAATGCATAAAATAATTTTAAATTTACTATGCCAAATTGAAAGGTTATTACCAATAAACCTTGAGGAAGCTATTAGTCTTCTTGGAAACCATTTCCAATTTCCTTCAACACCTACAGCCAAGAGTTTCCATGGATGCTTCTTGTGTTTTCATGCTGTTTTGATTTCAGTGTTTCTGAATTCTATCTAGCAATGAGATGTATTTAGCTATTTGATAGAGAAAATGAAAGCGGGAGGTAGCGAACAGCTCGATTTCTTCTTTGGTTGCTTAATACTGAGGGCTGAGAGACCTCATTTTCTAGATTATGAAAGGTATCTTAAAACTATAGATAATAAAATAAAGGAAGAGGTTCTGGGAGCCTCTATTTTTTCTAGGATGAGAGGATGATGTTTAATAGAAGAGCAAGATGTTTTAGGATCTAAATTCAATTTCCACTTGATTTCACTGATTACATTTTATCTTTTTATATTTTATGAAATTCTAGAAGCATTCAAAATTTAAGCTTGCCTAGTAACATGACTAATCCCACAAAACATGCTTATTAAATGCTATGAATCAACAACAACAACAACATCATCATCATCAAGCCTTTTTCCCACTGTGGGGTTGGCTACATGAATCCTTTTTCTCCATTGTGTCCGGTTAAAAGTCAAATTCTTATTTAAATCTAATAAAGAAAGATCATCTCTAATATTTTCTAACCAAGCCTTTTTAGATCTACCTCTACCTTTCTTAACATAAGTCAAATATAATATCTCAAATTTTCTAACCTGGTCATTGGAAGGCCTCCGTTTAATGTGACCCAACCATCTAAGGCGACTCTTTATAATCTTATCTTCCACTAGACCTACTCCAACCTTTTCACGTGTTTGCTCATTTCGTATCCTATCTCTAATGGTCAAGCCACTCATCCACCTAAGCATCCTCATCTCTGCAACACTTAACTTAGTATTATGCTTCTCTTTTAATGACCAACATTGGGCACCATAAAGCATTGCAAGTCTCACCACCATTTTATATAATTTTCCCTTAAGTTTGAGGGGGACTTTTCTATGGCACAATAAGCCCGATGCATTCCTCCACTTCAACCATCCAACTTGAATTTTGCTGATAATATCCCCATCAATTTCACCATCACTCTGAACAATAGATCCAAGATATTTAAAATGTGTACTCTTATTAATGACTTAATCACCCAAAGTCACAATCCCCTCACTAGGTCTATTGCTACTAAAATTACACTCGACATATTCAGTTTTAGATCTACTCAAGCGAAAACCTTTAGACTCTAAAGTTGACATCCATAATTCAAGTTTATCTTCAACTCCCTCTCTAGTCTTATCAACAAGAAGAATATCATCAGCAAAAAGCATACATTATGGTACATCCTCTTGCAAATGTCTAGTGAGAACATCCATGACTAAAGCAAAAAGATATGGACTTAAGGCTGATCCTTGATGTAATACAACCGAAATAGGAAAATACTTGGTCAAACCACCTTGTGTTTGAACACAAGTAATAGCACATGCATACATATCTTTAATGATTATAATATAAGCATTATTAGCTCATTTCTTTTCAAGAACTCTCCATAGCACTTCTCTTGGAACTTTATCATATGCTTTCTCTAAATCGATAAATATCATATGTAGATCATCCTTATTCTCTCTATATTTCTCCATCAAACCTCTCAATAAATGTATGACTTCCATAGTAGACCTACCTGGCATGAATCCAAATTGATTTTGAGAAACATTAGTATCACGCCGCAACCTACGCTCCATAACTCGCTCCCATAGTTTTAAAGTATGACACATTAATTTAATTCCTCTGTAATTCACACACTCTTGTGCATCACCTATTCTTAAAAATAGGAATTAACACACTCATTCTCCACTGATCTGGCACCTTTTTAGTCTTCAAAACAATATTAAATAGTTTAGTAAGCCAAGAAATTCCTTCATCTCCTAAGTATTTTCACATCTATATTGGAATATCATCAGGTCCAACAGCTTTTTTACACTTCATTTTCTTCAAAGCCTCTCTAACTTCGATTTTACTTATATGCTGATAAAAATAAAAATCTTTATATTCATTTAGGATGACAAAGTCACTAAAATTTATCGTATTTTCACAATCTTCATTAAAAAGTTTAGCAAAATACCTCATCCACATTTGTTGAATATCATCTTCTAAGAAAAATATTTTTTGATTTTCATCCTTAATACACTTCACTTGAACTAAATACTTACTACTCTTATCTCTTTGTTTGACTAATTTACATATATCTTTCTCCCTCCTTAGTATCTAATATATTATATAAATCATTAAAAGCTAAGCTCTTTACATCATAAATAGCTTTCTTAGATTCATTACGAGCCTCTTTATAGCTTTCCCAATTATCAGAATTTTTACATCTAAACTAATTTTTATAACAAATTTTTTATTTTTTTAGCTTTTCTTGCACATTTGTATTCCACCACCAACTATTTTTACTATTAGGAGCTTTTCTCTTTGAAATTCTAAGCACATCTTTTGCAATAATCTTTATGTCACAAGCCACTTTTTCCCATATAATATTGGAATTCTCATACACAGATAGAATCTTAAGATCTAAAATCTTACTCTAAAAAATACTTTTGTTAATATTCTTTAAATGCCCCAATCTAATCATAGAAAATCGCTTTACTTTATTTTTTATTTTTTGCCCATTCATCTTAAAGTTCAAAACTAATAATCGATGTTGGGGTCGGAATAACTTTATAATATTTGCAATCTAAACAATCTAATTTTCTTATAAGAACACTTGTCACTATATTCAGGCCATACAGCGCGTCGCTTCCAAGTGACGACCTAGCATTAACACAAAATAGGATTCATATCATGATTATTCGACAAGTTTTACGCTGGCTGTCGACTACTTAACGCAACCCTCCACTTTTCTCATCCAAGACTTGGGACCTGACAACGACAGTGTTATGTTATGAATCAACAATGAATGGAAAAATATGAAACCATCATAACAACATAAAAGAGCATTAAATAAGAAAGCACATGAAGTATATTCTCTTTAACATATAGAAATTTTAGGAAATATTTTGAAAATTTTGAGAATTGTTTAGAAGCTTTTAAATTATTTTGGAATAGTCCAGAAAATTTGAAAAAGCTTAGGATATTGGGATCCTCTTGGACTATAGTTGGGCTAATCCAACCTTAATAATATTTGGCTATATTAAGGTAGTAATAAAAAATTATTAATACTTATGTGGGCTTGACTTGTTTAAGCTTGGATAAGCCTTGATAAATATATGTCCAACTTTATATCAAGTATCAACTTATCATTAAATATATTTTATGACACATATTTTGAATACTTGCTAAGTTTTATTCTTTTGCAACTATGGTTGATTAAAATTGGTCGAGCATTTGATTAGTTATTAAACTTATTTCAAGTAGTGTGAATTTAAGGCATGTGGAAGTTGGAATATTGGGTTTAAATTTCTTTTAGGGGAGTTCATTTAGAACAAAAGCGTTAGACCGGTCCATTGTACCGGTCCAAACGGTCCATACAGGACCGGCTCATGGAGACAGAGGCGGAAAAGTTCCGTTTTTCCTGTACACGTCGACCGAACCACCCAATCCAACGAAGCTATTTAGGAAGGATTTTTGAGGGAGTTGGGAGGGAAATTTGAATATATGGAATGTTTAGAAATTTCCTTTTGAATTGTATGCATTAAATAGTTTGTTTTCTTAGGGTTAGGACATCTTGAATTTGGCTGAAATTTGAGATCTCTTAGGTTTTTGAGCTCTATCGGCGTTTAGAGATTTGGGGGGGAGAGATCCTCCTCTCGAATAGAGGATCAATTATATTTTGGTATTTTCCGTTTCTATTTCATCAAATAACAAATTATCTAACGTGTTCCTGGTTTTGTGTGGATTTTTGTGGAGAATTCTCGTTGTTTTCAAAGATTGCTAGGAAATTCTTGAGATCTTCAAGTGTTTTCTATCAAATTG